ATACCAGATAATTGGACATCAGTGCATCAATTTAAGAATAGCTTTATCCTAGTATTGACATCCATTATGCTATAAATCGGAATTCAATAAATAAATTAGACTATCACATTTTCTAGGTTTTAATACTCGATATCTTATTCCATAAATTCTCATTTCTATTTTAAGTAATTTAGGGTGCTCCCGTAATTTTTTAGAATTACACTGGCCTCAATATTTCTAGATTTCTACCTATCTGCCTATTATTCAGTTATAATAGCCACATATCACTCAATTATGTCTAACATAAGTTAGCCCATATTGGCTGGACCACATGTTAATTTGGTTCACTTTTATAAGCTTTTCAATATATACCACCTCCTACCTTACTCCAATTAAGGAGACATATTTTGAAATATAATGAGATGACAAGTAACAAAGTCGTGAAGGGTAATTTTTTAAAATTGGTTATATGCATTTCTTCTTCCTCTTAAGTTGTCTCTTATTTCTCTTAGCTTTCCTCCCCTCGCTTGTTCTCAAGATCTCTTTCATTATTTTATTAACTAGTTTCATTACCGATCCAGTTGGATTTGTTGCGACCAGCTTGTTGGGTATCGTTGGCCTTCTTCTCTTCAGCTTTGCACGTTTCCTTGTTGATGCCGCCAACCAAGAGAAGGCTCGTCTAGAGACTAAGCATCGGCAGCACAGCCAGCAGCAACAATCGCAGAGAACTTCATTTGCTCCTTCTGGTTGTAACAATAAAGCCTCTTTTGCCGCAAGCAGAACCGAGGCAGAACGAAGCGTAGGTCAGCAGAGGTGGGTGTGAATTACATTTGAGAATTAGCTTGATATTAGCCCCATCAAAAGCGTGGGATTTATTCGACTGATAAATAACATACCGATGTCGGCGTAACGCTTGGGAATTTACCAAGTCAATATTCCGATGCTGGAAATCATTAATAATGTGGCAGAAGACGTAGGCTAGGTACGTTCCACAAAGTCTCCCTGATACTCCGATTAAGTTGTGAAAACGAGGTCTAACCAACACTATAGAGCTAAAGGTAACTGTGACCAGACAGAAGGCCACACCATCTTGGTTTTCATATATACAATCTAACTAAGGGGGTAAGATTGCTAGTTAATGCGCTACTTACATCAGCTCAAAGAAAACAATCGTAAGTCAATCTTGTCATTTGACCTTTCTTAACATTTCTAAGCGTTATAGCATCCCTCCGTTTTTGCAATTTAATCAAAAAATATCATTTCGAAAAAGTTTAATGCTATATTGTATCAAGCCTTTTTGCAAATATTAAATAGACATAGGATAGGGCGAAGGGAAAATTATTTAAGATTTTATATATTAAATCTAGACTTAGGCATAATTTGAGTCATCCTCTCACCCCGGGGGATTTCCTGAAACTACACATGACAGACAAAATGTCGAAAAGAATATCAGAATTAATCAAAAAAGGCGCCAGATTAGGCTGAATAAATATGGGATTTATTCGGCAGATCAAGGTCAAACGATCCGACAAAAATGAAGATGCCTCTAGAATGACGACAAATTGAGATAATTTAGTGAATCTGTCTTCCGGTCCTCTTGACCTTCAGACCACAGAGATCCTTAAGATGAAAGTAAGTTTTGTATTTTACAATGAAAGGAAGGCAATCAAGAGCATTTTAATAGAAATAATAAATACATCTGAGAAGCTACCCTAAGAAACACAAAGAGAGCTGGAAATTGAAATAATTTCAAAAACCTTGTCACATCAATAATCCACCGATAGAAACATTATAATCAAGATATATAGAGAACTGAGAAGAAACGATTAAACAGTTCTACAAGCTGACAAAAGACGTGCCACAGTGGTGATGGACATGAGGGAATATACAGAATAAATGGGAACTATTCTCGGGGGCGCTACAACTTATCGGCTGCTAACAAAACAACCACAGTTAAAATCAAAGGTGCACTGCAAGAAATGCTGAACATAATGAATATGAATGCGGAAATCGACAAATGGACATTGAATTCATTCAGACGAAAGGATTTAATAGCCTCAGTAGTATACAGTTTACCGAAGGTACATAAGGAAGGAGAATCATTGAGACTGTTAGTCAACAACAAGCACGTACCAACACATAAATTGGCGAAATTTATCTGCCTCAAATTAAAGAAAGTAAATGACATTATCGAATTTAGTGAAAAACCCTTATGAATTTTGCCAAAGAATCAAAGGTATCACTTTAGGAGGAAAATACTTTTTTATGAGCTTTGGTGTACAGTCTATGTACACTAACATCACAGGAAAAAAAAGCACTCACGAAACTACTGGGGATCTTGGAAAAAGAATATGACATCTTGGAGACGTAGCGAATCCATAAAGAGTCTTTATCCTGATTAATCAACCTGACAATAAAAGCGACTTATTTCACGTGCAACGGCCGAATCTATGAGCAAATGTTTGGTCTGCCTATGTGCTCAACACTCACCTCCGTTGGCTAATGCCTATATTGACAAGTTGGAGGGGAATTTGAAAGCGTCACCTCAGCAGCCAATAGTAATTATGCCACTATTTCGCAATCTGGTCGTATGAAAAAAAAATTAGACGATTTCCTGATCTTCATGAACGAAATGGTTGAAAAAGTCAAATTTACCATGAATGTGGAATAGAACGGACGCTTACCTTCCTTGGATGTGGAGGTCATTCGCTCCGAGGAAACTCTTAGGAAACGACTTTTCCCAAAGAAATAGCATACTCGAATAACTCTTAATTTCCAGCCTAACCATACTTACG